TCAAATGTTGGGACACAATTAGTGGTAGGAGCGGCGGTGAGAGGCCTCCTGCAAATCATAATATCCCTGATCGTTGGCATCTGAATATCCATTACTGTGCACCCCCCAACCCTGTCCCCTCAAGGGGCCCCCACGTGGTGCAGTCTGAGGAGCAGGAACGTGATGTGTGTTGTCAGTTCCATTTTCCAAAGGCGCTCCACGTACTGTATGTGCAGACACAGACAGCGCCGTGTCTGCAAATGGCCTCTGAATGTAAATGCGAGGTGTGAATACATTTACCCGGAGTGGCGGGATTAAACAGAGCAGACATGAATAAGGATGCAACACTGTGACAGCAAATAAACACAGTAAAAAAATTTAAATTTCACTGTGGGCCGCTGCAGATGCCCTTCCTCGGTGTGTCACTTTCCATACAGAAACGAACAGGACGCCACAGTCACAACTCTGTTGAATCCTAAATACATTTTTTGCATCTTACATCACACGTCATTCATTTTCTACTACTTCCTCCTTTTGTCAGCATCGTTGGGTGGGCTGGAGTTAAAACCCCAGCGTTCATCAGGCGAGGGTGGGGTTACAGTCTCTCTCGTACAGAGACAACCATTCACGCTGAAATTCACACCAATGTTCATTTACTGTGAAAAATGAATCCTAACCCTACAAGTTTTTTTTGAACTCCTTGGCAGTTGGCAAGTTAGCCAAACCAGTCACCTGGTTAGCTCCACAGCTAACATGTGTGACACCTAAGAATCTAAACATCACACGATCTACAGAATCAAAAATATGTTGCTTTTTGAATTGACTTTAACCCCCTCCACAGCTAACATGTGTGACACCTAAAAATCTAAACATCACACGCCAGATTTCTCTGCTAGCTAGCTACGCCCGCTCTCCCCAGCTAACACAGATGGGTTCAGACATTGCCAAACTTGGACTCCTGGGTTAAATCTGTCAAAAAGTTTTCACTTTTTTTTCCTAACTCTTCGTAAGAGCAACCATCTGGTTCGACATCTTATCTTCAGTCTTGTCAGGTTTAACACATATATTGTTTACGGCGGGACAATGAATTCCACAATGACAAACTTGCTTTGTTATTGTGGCTGCGCCACATCCGTCAAGTTATCCATTAGTGCATTGTGAGATTGGGTCCTCGTGGTCAATAATACATCTCATGGCCATTGGACAGCAATGACAGGCTACAATTATTTAAGGCTTCACACAAAGCAAAACAGCGGTGCAGGTGATTTGCCGGGAACAAATAAAACGTGTTGCATTTGTCCGCTTCTATCCAAACCTTTAATTAGGTTTTTTTAACGAGCGTTGTTCTGCTACTTTGCATTTCCATATTAATCAGGTTTTGTAAATGTACAGTAATCAAACCTTCTTTTATTGCGGCACTCGTGCTGTTGCTCTGCATTTGTTGATGAAATAATGGACTGGTCTTTTTCTCTCTCCACATTACAGCGGGCGATCACCCGTATGAATGCGAGTTCTGCGGGAGCTGCTTCCGAGACGAGAGCACGCTGAAGGGTCACAAACGCATCCACACCGGGGAGAAACCCTATGAATGTAATGGCTGCGGGAAGAAGTTCAGCCTCAAGCACCAGCTGGAAACCCATTATCGCGTGCACACAGGTACTGTGATTAAAATTAGACCGTCTGACAAAGGAGATGTCTGAAGAACAAAAACAGTTTTTATTTTTTTTCCTACTCCTTACTATTCAGAGATTTTTAGAAACTGCAGGTGGTTCTGGGCAAAGAATAATTTCCCTGAATTAATTAATGTTTCAGCCCAGAACTTTTTCTGTCTTGTGTTATTCCACTGCCGTCATTGAAATTCCTAGGTTTGGTCTGTATTTGTCAAAACTGGAATCATCCCCAGGCGATTTTCTGCCTCCACTGATCAATGGCAGTTTTCCAGATTCATAAAACATGCACCTGTTGCCTGGTTGAATTTTATGGAGTCCAAATTTAGAAAGACTCCCACAGGGTTTCTGAGATCTAGAAGAAAACTAAATCAGCACGTCACTGCAACCTTGGTCTATGACCTGTGGCGACCAATTTTAATCACTTCATTTGTGAGTCCAAGTGCATCATATAATTCAAAGGTCATTATGAAGGTATTTTTGAGATATTGTGGCCATAAGGCCAAATATAATTATTGGTATATCACAATGTCCCCAACCGTTTATCTTGTACTGTCAAACCCCGGCTGAATGTCAGCTCAGTCCATCTGCAGTTTTTGGACAGTCATTTTCCACCAGTTAAAGAGCTTCACTGACAAATGTCATCATTTCTTTCCAAACCCATAAACTGCACCTGTTACCTAATTATTTTTTAAATCCCCAAATCTTTCTGAAGTATGACATTTACGACATCAAACACATTGTGTCAGATCATCATGACCTTCATCTCTGTCCTTGTGCCACCAGATAGTAATGACTAAAACTTAGGCATTGAAAGTAAAAGGCTATTAGCCAGTGATTGTTAGTGAAAAGAGAATCCAAAATTAGCCGCATTGAAAGTAAAAGGCTATTAGCCAGCGATTGTTAGCGAAAAGAGATAGAATCCAAAATTAGCAAAAATATATTTAAAGTTTAGTTCAGAAATGTCCAACATTCAGCCCTTGGATTAGTTATTACAGTCATGACTGATAGATAGACAAAATATAATTGTAACAGCTAAATGTTAGCCAACAATGTAGCTCATAGTCCAGTACAAAAGTATCTTAGTTATTTGGTTAAAGTTTATATAAAAAAAAAAAAACGAAAATCTGTCTTTTTCTTAATTTGCTATGAGTCAGAAAATAAGTCAGGCAAAAGAACAGTAAAGTACAACAGCTGTGTTTAAACCTAACTACGTATTCTTTAACCAGGTAAAAGAATGTTGAAGAAAGCCCACACTGTGAGGCTCCGACTTTGGGCCAGATAAATATCTCTGTTGCTGTGATACAGTAGATGAATGTCTCAGAAGACGTGGTATTGATCCCAGTATATTTAGAGCCCCATAAAGATGTTGACACAGTGATAAGCTGGGTGCCCCGGAGAACCGCTGCACGCTCCCCGCGCCGGGCTGAAAAAGGACGGATACGGCACAGGGATCCTTCCACAAGTGTGGCACACGGCCAAGGCTTTATGCCTCCTTGCCATGTCTTTTTTCCCTGTCTATCACACACACACACACATACACAAGCGCACATATCCAATTCAATAAGCCAGCTGTTAAACCACACTATCAAGGCAGGCTGTCCAATAATTGGCTCCCCCCTCCGTCCACCCTTTCACCTTTTATGTGGGGGAGAGGGGCTTTGCGTTAAGCCGAAGAGCAACAGCAGATAACAAGAGCAAGTGACAAGCTCACAGTCAAAGGCCACCTCGCACAAAAGGCAGCTGCTTGATGAATCATCGACACGAGCCGCCCCCGCCCCCCTACACCCCCCCAATCCCTCGTTCCTCTCCACACATCCTAAATGCCAATGGGCGATCAATACCCGGGCCCCCATTTGCAATTCATTATTAGCTGGTTATCGGAGGCAAGCCTGTTTACAGTGCGGTTATCGATATCATCAGTAGAGCACGGCCGGCTACACCTTCTGCAGAAAAACCACCTGCAGCACTGTATTTATTCCTATTGGCTTAAACTGTGCCGTGACCCCCCCCCACCCCCCCCCCCCCCTTCCCGTCACTATTCTGTCTGTGGTCAAGGTTAACCAAAGCACTGAATAAAAACGGTAGAGGCATGAATTGGCCCCTTCATCACACATTCATACACGTGCGTGAAGCTTCCAGCTGAAAGGTGACAGCATGAGCGGCGCCAGATCATTTCCGACAGCTCATTTCAAATGCCATTGGTAAAGGTCAGCATTTACATGTCTAATTTGCGTCTGTGCCGGGCTGGAACGCTGGCGGATTATTCCCTGCCATCACTCAAATCATTAGCACATTTAGGTCGACTGCTGTTGCTGAATTGAAATGTGCCTCGCTCCAACGTAGCGTAGCCGAACCCCCATCCACCCAACTGCAAGGAAGCCATGTTTTGCCTTGATTTATGACACACGTAGGAGACCTTCATGGTGCTCGCTGCATATTTGGTAATGGAGCAGAGATGAGATGATTTTGTATGAGTTATTTGAAATGTATACGTATTGGAATGTGTTAGCATCACAAATGCATACGTTTTGTCTTCCTAAGGTTAGCTTTTGCATACGTTTTGTCTTCCTAAGGTTAGAACTTCAAAAATTCACTGCATTTAAAAAGCTAAATGATGATGTTAGAAAAGAAAAAAAAAACACTAATAACAGGCAACACAGCAAATACCTTAAAGAGTGATACCCCAGTTTACACGTTATTTACTGCCCACAAGGGGGAGACCTACAAATCTAATGTTTACTAAATTTCTTAATCAAAGATTGTGAAGAAGTCGGGAAGCTACTGTCGAACTACCTGACGCCTGTGCTTTGCTTTAATGGGCATTAGAGGGCGACTGTTACATAGGTTCATAATCAAGTGTAGTTCTTCCTCAATATTTTAAAAAGTTTTGTTTACAATAATCCGATGTCATTGGTTAATCAAGTAAACATGAAAAAAGTTTTGCACATTCTCTTTTCCTTTCTTTGTTCCACAGCGTGACACGCGGGGTAAAAAAAAAAAAAAAAAAAACATGGCGTGGCAGTAAAATCTTTATACAGTGGGGTCTTTTTAATGAAGGCACTAACGAGAATTGATAGCAGCAGAACACAAAGGAGATCTATCCCCCAAGCCACAAGAATAATTAGCAGATCGTTTGGTTATTATTTTGTTTTCACTCGGAATGACTTTAAAGAGTTAGTGGTCTTTTACAGCTGCACACTGCTGTTCCAGGGACAGTTGGGATTTCAGTCTGGGTTTTCAAATTGTCACTTTATGTATGTGCATGCGTTTTTGTGTCTGTGTGCCTGATTGACACACACATGACCATTATTTTAACAGCAGTAGATTTTCTTCGCAGCCAACGGGAGGAAATCTTTGGTCTTTAATTTGGTCGTGTTTTCTTTAAGGTTACTTTAAACCATTGATTTAATTCTTACAGCCCTTTGTGAAATGTAATATAACATAATTAACAGCATCATTTGTTAATTTGTCATTAATTGTGTTTTATTTAGCTATCCTATCAATTAACATTTACCCATTTTTCACCCAAAGACTTTTGCTTTTTGTCTTAATTGCTAGTCTTCTATCTATATTTTGTTTGGCTAATTTAGATTTTTACATTTTTTGTTTTACTATTAGATCTTTTTTAACAATTATTCAGGCTAGCAATTAGCTCTCATTGAGTAAGGTTATTGGAGGCTTTGCTACCTAAATGATCAACCGAGCTATTTCCTTTTTTCCCCTAAATCTAGCTAAACATTTTTTATAACATACTGTTTTTTATTAATGTATTATTAATTTGTTTTTTTTTATTATGAGTTATTATTTTAGCCACAGTAACAGCTTTTAGCATCATAACATTTTCCAAACCTTATACCTGTCATGTTTGGACATGAAGGTTTTAAAATAAGTCAAAAAAACAAAACCTTTCTCCAATCCTAAAGTCAGGAGGCATCTTTGTTGATGTGTTCATTGAACCAACAAATCAACAGAGACATGAATCTTAACTTGGCCAGCACTGTTGCTAACACAGTTGTCGCCCTCCTCCCCCTCTCACCTCACCCCTCCTTAGGTGAGAAGCCATTTGAGTGCAAGCTGTGCCACCAGCGATCCAGGGACTACTCGGCCATGATCAAGCACCTGCGCACCCACAACGGCGCCTCGCCCTACCAATGCACCATCTGCCTGGAGTACTGCCCCAGCCTGTCAGCCATGCAGAAGCACATGAAAGGCCACAAGCCTGAAGACATCCCTCCAGACTGGCGCATAGAGAAGACGTACCTTTACCTCTGCTACGTCTGAGACCGGAAAAGTGGAGAGAAAAAAAGATAACGTGAGAAAGAGTGAGAGATTGCAACGAGAGGAGAGTAGAGGTAAGGAGGGAATGTATTTGAGCAGAGGAGGCATGAAGCTGTAACGGGAGCGTTTACAGTTGAGTAACGTCAACGACGAGAGACTAGAAAGCAAAAAGAGTTTTGTTTTCACTTTTTCTTTTCATGCAAAGGTGGCAGCAGCGCTGGCCTTACGGGGAGGGGGGTGAAGGGTGGGGGGTTAAAAGGGAAAGTGGACACATTTGGGACAGAAGTGCTAAAGCGAGGAAGGCTGGGACACGGAGAGGGAGAGAATCTCCGTCATTGTTCGGATTCACCGGGTCATTCACTACATCTGCAACTGTGTTATTGTTTCAGGTCATTTCATGCAGCGCCGTAAAGCAAGCAAACAAGCTGCAAGGAAGTGACACTTTAAAAAATGTGTGTCTGCGGTTGCTCACGGAGCACAGATTCTCAAGGGCTATCTGAACCTGCGCATTAATGCCACTAAGAATCTTTACTAAATTTGATAGAAACTGAAGTTGCGAAACAATGTTTTTGTTGTTGTACCAGATTTTTTTTTTTAATTTAGTTTAGCCTCAGTTTAGACCCAATTTGTTGATTGTGCTCTCCAAGTTTCTGATTTTTTTCTGAACTGTGACTAATTTTACTTGGAGAAGGAATGAGTCACATTTTCCAAAACTACCACATCAATCCAAATGGACACTCCACAGTGAGTGTGAACCACTCCTAATGTGAAAATATGCCATTAATTCTTCCCAAATGGGAAATATGTCCATTTTTATAACCTGAACATCGCCCCCTGTGCCTGAACAGAAAAACACAACGGCTCTTCCAAGAAATCTGACAGTGAAAACTGTCCATTCATTCCTTCAGCTCCACAGATCCCAGTGGTGGCAGTGAGATAGCCCATGAGAATCGGCACCAGAGCCATTAGGCCTATGCAGTAGATAGAAACAGCTGAAATGGACAGGTGGGAGCATTAAAATCCTGCAAACCAAGCACCTGGGCAGGAGGATGCTAGTGCTGCTTAAACCTGGAAATCTCCTCCAGTGTTTCCCTCAGTAGTCTTCCTGGTTCTGAATCTGCATCACGTGACGGCAGGACGAGGAGTCGCCGATGTGCCCATCAAACGTTCTCCAGCAGGAGAGCCAAACTGCTACCCACCAGTCACTTCTTCATCTCATATATGTTTGTTATATTAGCTCTGCGTCATAGTTTATCACAGGCTTGGTTGCATAGGTAAAACAAACGACGACAACGGTTTCTGTATCAAAGCCTGCACGGTGTATATCCTTCGCATTAAACCGTTACTCACTAACGTAATACGACACCCAGTTACACCCAGAGCTACTCTCATACTCAGCAATAGAAAACTGGACTGCTTTTATCCATGTACATTTGTATCCATATCACTATCATTATCTCACACTAATGGCAAACTGACACACAGTAAACAACAGTAAACGGCCCCCAGTACAGCACATCTGTCCGTTCAAACACCAAGTGATGGAAAACACAATGGAACGAGGCTGCTTTCCGTGGAGGTCCTGTGACTTTTGGTAGCAAACGTTGAGTAGGTGCAGGAAAAAACCCTGAGCTGCACACCTCAAGATTTACTTTGACGAGACTGTTATTGGCTACGAAACGTGAATGTGAATGACTGTAAGCCAGGTTCTTACAAGAGTTTGGGTTTTTTTTTTTTTTACGTATCGTAAAAAAGATTTTTACTGGGTCTTATTCCAAGTCTGAGGCCTGCAATTCCAACCAACGAGGTGCAGCTACTCTTGGAATAGTTCTCCAGGTTTTCTCTTTGAATGCTGTGCAACAATTCAACAGTTCCTGTTTAGGAATAATTTCATAATGTTAAAAATGTCGTCAACTTGAAATCGGTCATCGGCCCAGATCACACAATTGTTTTTGAAGGGTTAAGACGTACCCACATATTTTTTTTATTATTATTAATATACCTTATTTACGAAATTGAAAACCTATGGTTGGAATTTTAGACTTTCAGACGTCCCTAAAACACAGCATCAAACGTTTGCGGTACTCAAGGCCAACAGGTATTAAGGATGAACTGAAGAGGCTAAAAAAAGCATCACTGCATATCTGAATGTCTGAATAGCCGCTGGAAAAATGCTGGGGAAAGAAATCACTGATTGGTCGAGACACGGCCCGACAGCTTAAGTGGGCGACCAGTAAGACGACAGGATAAATCAACTCTTCTTCTGTGGTTTTGTCCCCGCGCTTTGTTTCTCTCGTCTCCATTTTTCTTTTCTTTTTTTTTTTTTTTGTATTTTTGTTTATCTTGAGTTTAATCTCAACACATCGTACTTGAATTACCTCGTTTTTGTGACCTCATGTTGCTTGTGTGTTTTGTTCTGTTTTTTAATTTTCCCTTTTGTTTTTCGTTCTTGCGGTTTGTTCCGTGGGTGTCGGGAAAGATGCATTGCACAACACGATGAAGCAATGTATGCGCAGAAAAATGTAAGTGCCACAGTGAAGAGATTTGTGGATTTCTTTGTGCATTAGTTATTACCAAACTTGGTATTATTGTTATTATTAACCCTGCTTGTTAAAGAGCCGGAAGGTTTGGTCATTTGTTATAAAAAAAAAGCTACCTCTAAGTTGTTTTTGTTCTCTTATTTTGGCAAAAGCACATGTTTTTGTGTTTGTGTTTTGCATTATTTCATCATTGCTACTTCATCTCATGCTATGTTTGTTTGTTTTTTTAAGTTGATTTATGATTGTCATTTTTAAGCAAATGTATATAAAAGGATAAGAAATAACATAAGTAGAGGTTGATAGGATGTGAAAATCAAGTGGTGTTTATTCTTCTCTGATAGTCTCCCCCTCTCCCTGCACCGCCACCCATAACCACAGGGCTAAATGTAGCCACTTAGCCCTGAGTGCCCCGAATCTTATATGCACAATGTGGGCCACATCTCAGCCCAACTTAACCATGTCAACCCTGTCTGGCCCAGTATAGGTCTCTGAAAAAAGCTCCAATATAATTCAAATTAATGGCCCAGATTCTGGTCAACGCAGAATGTGGGCCACACTTCATTGCTGTATTTCACATGACAAAACTGGCCCACATCTGAGATCTGGTGGTCCATTTCTAGTGACCCAGCTTCAGCGCTCATGAACAATTTCACTTAGGCCAGATAAGCCGCGTTTCAACAAATTGTTACCTACATGTGGTCAAACTTGTGGCCCACATTCCAAATTGTGGGCCAGCTGCAAGTTGCTGACCATCGATAATTCATTGCTCTATAGAGGCAAAGAGAAACAGTTTGTGTGGACGTCATTGTTAGCACTAATGGACCAGGATCGTCCTTCCAGTTAGTCTGAGATATGACATGCGTTCTGTACATGAAATCTAAAACATCGCTCTCAGTGGGGGAAGTGGACAACTCTGCAATGTGGGATGTAGGCCAAGTGTTAAAGGCCCACTACTGGGCCAGACCAGATTTCTGAGTGGGTATTAAAAAAAATGGAGAAAACTAAAAGATAGCAATTTTGAGCCTTAAGTGATGAGTCAGCGGAGTGCAGCAGACAAGAGGAAGTACTTTTTTTTTTCTTTTTAAGGTGGGTTTTGAAAGTGAGAATTTAAACTTGAAAATATGTTAATAGAATTGTAGTTTTGTAATGTGAAAAAAGACGGTTCGTCAAAGTGGCAGAACCTCCCGTGCAGGACAGGTCATATTTGCAGAGATGCAGAGTGCGTTGGACAATTGGAACTGCAAGCGGTAATCAAAAAAATAAACAAAAAAAATAATTAAAAAAAAAAAAATAAACCACCAAGGTTGAAAATAGAGATTGTCCGGTGTGACAAGCTCTCTCAAGAAATGAGTGTATTCCTGAACAAGAGCCAACAGAGGCAAATTTGATATATAAAAATTGTGATATTTTTGTATTCAGTGTCAGTCCTTTTTCCATTTGTGGAGGGTTAAAGCAGGGCACAAATATTTGTATTTCTTTTTTTTTATTATTACCAGTTATTTTCTCTCTGGGTGTGAATCATTTTTGCCTTGCTCCTCTTTGATATTGTTGGACAAAAAACGTGTGTGAACATATTGTAAAAATAACTGTTGCTTTCTGGATGTCAATTGCGTTGTAGGTGAAGGACTAAATCTGCCACAAATTTTACAAATGTGTGTGTGCGTGTGTGTGTGTGTAGGTGACAAAGTTCAAACAAAAAAAAGGAAAAAAAAAAAGATAATGATAAAATATGGCAAAGCAGAGAGACGCTGCCGCCACCGACCAATTAGTACTTGTCATTCACGACTTTTTCAATCAAACTTGACTGTCGACATGTTATTTGTTTTTGTACTTGAAAAAAAAAAAAAGAAGAGATGGCATGTCCCGTGGTGTCTTGCCATTTTATTCTCAAACACTGTGAGCCGAGGGGGCTTTTTATTTACCACCCTCCTAAGATATCCACCCACTTCAATAGTCAGATTCAGTCTCAACCAAAGACAGTGTATGGAAATGTGGACGTGGTTGATGTTTTTGATCTGCATCAATGGGAAAAAGTTGCAACTTTTTCACCAGCTAATGCTAACATTAGTGAACAGTTTTACGGCGAGTTAATATTTGTTCGTCACTTACTTGAGGGTCAACTTGGCAGATTTATAAATCATTGTCCTGTTTAGAGGAAAATGAATGACAAAGCACAACATTTATGAGTATTGTGGCAAAAACAACCACACAGAAGTTTCAAATACATAGAGCAGAACAATTGTTGGATTGATCCCTTGTTGCTAATATGCTACCAGCAAACATGTCCACCAGAAATGGCCCAACCATCCTTTTCGTAATCATTGCCTATCCGTCTATGTTTTTTTGTTCTTTATTATTTAATTTCCTCTAAATCAGAATGTTATTTTTCAATCATGAAAATTCTAATGTAAAACTAATGGGACTTCAACAGATTTCTGTTTAGGTGCAGTTGCTCCGTGACATCAACTTGTACAGCAACACTTTGTGACCACAATTTGCAAATCGATGGCTACGTCCACATTCTTATACACAGTCTATGGTCTGAACGAACACAATACAATGCAAGAACCTGTTAAGTCACATTATTCCCATCATCGTCCTCTGAATGTTTTCTACTTTTTCGTGTGGGTGAAAGAGTGTGTTCTAAAAGAGTGTGTTTTCCTGTGCGTGCGTGTGTGTGAGTGTATTAGTGGAAAAATGCACTAATCAGATCAGATACAAAATAAGAGGTTATTCTATGCCACTTTTTTCTCTATGTTGGAAAAATATATATAGATATATACATTGGCATCGATATAGTTCTTCCCTCAGTGTTCCTCGGATGTTTCTGTACTATCTTTGTGCCTAAAAATGGAAATTGTTCAACAAAAATAACCCATCTATATCTGCTTAGTTTCTGTATTTTCAGGAGAAAAAATAAAAAATGGTGTCTCCAGCTCACTAGGGATGTCATGACGCCTGCATCTTAACTGGAACTTGTTTTCTGTAGCCAAATTTGGGTGGCAACTAATAGCATTTATTGAGCGACATAACACAAGGCAGATGAGATTTAAAAAAATAAATTTAAAAAAAAGATGAAGGGCAGATGTGAAAAGACATCGTGTGTTTTCAACATGTCATGTTTCCTCTGTATAGTACCAGGACCTTGAGAATTTAATTTTGGTTCATGTGATGGTGGCCTGTGTTTCCATCACAGGTAAACCAGAGGATTGTTTGTGTGTAGACACTGTATATCCTGTGTATTTGGTTGTAAACACTGGAGTATTTTCATGGTCATAGAAAACTACAAACCAGTGCAAATAGCAAATCTAAAAACCATCCACCTAAGTATTCAACAGCAGTTATTTACAGGTGTTTGTTGTAGCCAACAGTTGGCATCCAAGTACCAAACATTAGGCCCACATTTGTACCACAACCGAACCTGGGACGGAATTTTTGCAGCCCCATGCTAGTAAACTTATGTGGCCAAACACAGGTCCCAGAGGTACACCAGATTTACCTCAACATTAGTGACAAATAAGATGAACATGTGGTCTTTTTTTTGACAGATTTTTCAAGATGTCCTTTTAGTGAAAAATGTACACATGTACCTGGACAACCTCTCATTGTATGAGTCAAAAAGTAGGACATTTGTTTTGTTTGAATCAGTTGTCTGAAATGTATCTGATTTTTTTTCGATTCTATTTTTCCAAGTTTCCAAACAGTTTGTTAGCATTACCTCAATAGATCCCCGCCCCCCCAAAAATATTAATTTTTAATTGTAAAAATCTGGTAAAAACAGGCATGATTTTCCCTTTGAAGTTCTTGTGGGACTTTACAAATGAATAATTGTGCCTTTAAGCTTTCGGTTTAGGGTTTGGATTACTGTGGAGAAACTGTACATAGTTCCTGTCCCTAGTTCCTGGTACTTGGTTCCTGCAGAGGAAACACATTCTTTGTCACATTTATTTTTTTCCTTCAAAGCAACAGGTTTGCTAAAGAAAACTTAAAATTTGCTCTTAAAATTTTTTAGCCTCCATTAAGGAAGTTTCGTTTGTACTTTATTTTCTTCTACATAATGCCTTTAAAAACATAAAAGGAACCGGGATGATAGTGGAAATTTATTCGGAGGGTAATCATGGCATCCCTGGAGCTGGCACTCTGTGTTTCGGTGTGGTGTTTGTTTCTAGAACAAAAAAAATAAAAAAATAAACAAAAAAAATAAACAAAAAACAAAACGTAGCCATTTTTCATGCAGTGTTGCGATGCATGTGCCATCCAAGGTCTAGACTTAAAAACTGTTTTTTTCAGTAACAAAAGCACCAAGACATTGTATTTTTTTATATATATATTAGCACTGAGGACCAATTGCCCTGTCGGACCAAGCTATAACCAAGCTTTTTATTGTAACAAAGCTTTTTGTTCTTCTTTTTCTTTCTTCCTCTTTGTCTTTTTCCTTGGCTTCGTCTGTGCTTCTTCTTCTTCTTCTTCTTCTTCTTCTTCTTCTTCTTCTACATTTGTCGTGACAGCACAAGTGCCAGTCGAGTTGCTCTGTATTAAGAAAATAGTGTTTTTATTATGATCATGATGATTTTTTTTTATTTGAATTGTTATAGTTTTGTCTACCTCAGCACCTAATCTTAGCCTAATCTTAGAAGGTGCCCAATTATTATTGTTTTATTTTCAATCTCCTATTGTTGTCGAATTGTTTTATTTTGAAAAAACAAAATTTGCATTAGAGCTTTGCAAAGGTCCTTTGTCTTTTCCAGCGACGTGCTATGTTTTTGTTTTTCCTTTTTTTGTTTTTTCCGTGGCAGTGCGTTTCCTGTTGAGCTGTGCCACCAATCTATAGCCACCGTCTGTTGATATAGAGGTTGTTGTTTATTTTTTATTTTTATTCTTTCTTTTTCCCCATGTAGAATCAGACACATCTCTTTGTAACATTTCAGTGTTCTCTGATGGAGTGTGAAAAAAAATAAAGAATAAAAAGGAAAAATAAAAGATGCTGACGCTGCAGGTTCTCTATCTCGTCCATGTTGTCACTACAGAGTCGATGTTGTGCCTTTGATATAGTGGAAAAATAAAACGATATACCGACTATTCCACCTTTCTTTTCTACATGCGACTAACAGTAGATGGTTTTTGTAGTGGGAAAAAGAATTATTTGTATTTTTATTTATGAGTCTCATAATAAAAATCCAATCACCGTGTTCAGTTGTGTCCTTTCCGTCTTCAGTCGGAGACGAAATAAACAAATTCACTTCATGCTGTATTTGTATGTATTGTTGTACCTTTGTTTCTGGCCTCAGTGTTAAATCAGGCAGTCAGTTAATAATCCAAGCTTCAAAACAAACCTGTAATGATAACATATATTATGTCAAATATTGTTATTTTGTATTAATAATGTAACAAAAACCAAATCTACTGTGGGACAGGTTTCCACCTAGTGGGCAACAACAAAAAAATTATATTGTTGGATCAGAAAATGTTGGGGAAAAAAATCCTAAAATGTTTTGAGTGTATAGTTTATTTATAATTAATAATTGTTGTTGTGGTTATTATTTTTAGTTTCATTTTTATTTTACAGTTTTAATTATTAAATTGTAATGGTGTTTTGATTATTATTACTTACTTTTACTACTACTACTTTGTTTAGCTTTATAGTCTTTATTCCTAACATTGTTTTCTTCTTCTGTCCACAGTTTCACAAATCTACTTCTTTTTGTTTTCATAGAAAAAAACAACACATTTTGTTCTATATAAATATATATATATTGGTTTTCTGCATTTTACTTTTGGGGCTAAATTTTCATCTTTAATCCAGCTTTTCTGTGAATGGACAGGGTCTTTGTGAGAGCGACTGAATCAGTAGTGAAGGTTGTCAGTGTAAAAAACAACTTTTTTCTCATTTGTGGTCGCAAAGATCAGCTCTGCTTTATAAACACACAGCCTCCCTGTTTTCATCAGCATCCTGACAAAACATTCAGCAACCATTCATTGCAGCTTCTTCCTTCCTGAAAAAAGAAATCTCCAAAATTAGATCAAAGTCCCAGAAACAAAACCATTCACACAGACGTTTCTTCACACTCTCTCTCTTCCTGTTTTCTTCTTCTTTGACCAAATCAATTGATCTATACCAAAAAAAAAGAAAGAAAATTACTAGAATGTGTTTAATTTTTGGCTGAATGGTGAATGTGGAGATTTGTCTTATTAATGTCCAAATCTGATCTTGTTCACAGTGGAGGAGCATCACAGACAGGAAATGAACAAATACTGGAGACGTTTTATTGTTATTTAAATTTATTTGTTTGGCTTATTTATTTTTCAACACAAAGACAGATGGTGGGTCATGTATGGTTATTCTTTATATATTAATAACAAATATTTCAATTTTAAAATATGTTTCAACTAACTTTTAACTCAAACAACGTGTTTAGGTACAGCTGATATACTGATATACTCTATAAGCTATTTCAGGACTTGCAGGATTTTTTTGCTTTTCTTTGTTTAATTGGATTTTAAATCATTTTCCTTCCCATGGCAGCATTTTAAATGTTGAAAATAAAAGAGACACAAAAGAAAACAACAGCTCACCTTAAGAAACATTACAGTTAGCAGACGCTTTTATCCAAAGCAACATTTAATTTATTCTGCAATTATTTTTTTTACACATTTATCACTTAATGACAAACAAAAACATCGAATAAACGATTAAATGTCCAGATATCGCGTAGACATATTTATATATTGACAGGACTGAAAGAAGAAATTTTTTTTTTTTTTAAACTGAAAGATCAGGAACAATGTGATGTTGTTGAGCGTGGCGCCATCCTCTGGCTGCTTTGGTAAGCTGCATGAGTTAATACGATGCACAGTACGTTATTCACGTATTATTTGTATAACCTTTTGCTGTTTTATTTATATTTGCAGATCTATTTAGAAGACGAGACCCAGACAGACAGAGGTTTGCTAATTTCCTGTTCCATTTTAAACCATTTTTAACATTCTTGAGTTATTTCAAATGTTTTTTTTTTCATTTTCCTAGAAGACGAGACCCAGACAGACAGAGGTATGCTAATTTCCTGTTCCATTTTAAACATTTTTTAACATTCTTGAGTTATTTAAAATGTTTTTTCTTCATTTTCCAGGCTTTTTTATTTTAGCTATGTACTTATTATCAAAAGACGTTTTAGCTGGGCTTAACTTCAATATATTTTGCTACATTTTATCTAAGAGTTTTGTTTGTTTCTCAAACAAATTAGATTGGTTTGCAACAAGTAAATGTACATTCTAGTTTTTTTCTGACAAAGACAGCATTTACCAGGAAACAATTTTTTATAAATTGTTGTTATGTTTTACAAGCATTACAGTACCTTCACAGGAACAACAGTTATTGTTTACAGACAAAGAAGCTTAAATCTACATTTAATGTATTTATTTTATTTGTTGTTTTTTTTTAAGTTGTGTATTTATGTGGCTGCTAGGGGCCTGCCCCAAAAAGCATCTTTGGTAAATAAAAACTAAATTAATGATAGCAATAACACTGCTTGCAGGATACAGAGCCGCGGGAACAGGAACTATTTGGCCATTCCACTGCTTTACGAGAGCCTCCCTGTCCACTGAGCTACAGGGCTTAACTGAGCCTGGCCTTTTTCAATTCCACGCTCCATGACCAAAGGAGCTTGTTACCACACTACAGTGCTGCTGCCGCCGCCGCCGCCGCAGGACTCAGGCCACCTGCCACACTGACCACAGAGTGCCCAGTGTGATGCTGTAGGCCACCATGGCCACCAGGTAGACCCTGAAGAGCAACACATCCAGCACGTATCCCACCTGTAGCCACTCCTTGGCCACTTCCCGGCACCGGTCCCTCTTCTCCAGGAAGTGTCGAATGGCCGTCACCTCCTGCAGGATGTTGTCCATGACGGGTGGAGTAGGCTCCCTGGGCAGAGGCCGATTCATGCCCAACAGTCCGGCCTCCCTGTCGTGATGGCTGAGCCTCTGACCGATCTCACAGGTGTGGTGGAGGTGTTGGCTGCACCGAGCTGTAAGTAGAAGACACGTAAATGATTTTAGTATTTATTGATGCTACTGCATTGGTGTATTTTTACTGTATTATTTTTGTTGTTGTTGTTGTTTTAAGGTCTTATGATGTTTTAACCTTCATTTGTTTCTTTTTTAATTTTTATACACATGTTTACCACCTTTGTGCTAATATTTATCTAATTTATGGCAAGATTTGACTAATCTTAGTATTTTTTAGGTAGCGTTTAGCTGTTAACTATTGAAAATTTGGAAAACATTTTTCAAATACATTCATTTTTTTCCCTGTTTCTTTGATTTCTATAGCATCTTCTTTTATCTACCTTTGAGCTATATTAGTATATTTCGGCTAACTCTAGGCAACTTCTAGACTATCTTTTGTCTTTACAAATATGAATATTTGTTGATGCTTCACCAGTGCCATAGCTGCTGTCCTTATAGTGTTCCAGGTCCGAGGTATGAGAAGAAAGTCTGGAGCAGAGACGGTGCTTTTTGTGGATGCAGAACAGTACCGGAGCTCTCTCCAGCACCAGGTACTTTACCCAGTGAGGCACCGGGGGCTGCAGATCCTGCTTATGGACCAGACGTACGATCAGCACAGTTTCTGTGAGACTGATCACCAAGAGAGCCATGCAGACAACGAAGTAAACACCTACAGAGAAGGTGAAAGGTCATACAGGGTTAGATTATAATCATGATCTTTTGCAGGTTGAACCAGACACTGTCAGAAGATTTGAACTAAAGGTAAGACATTTTTCACATAAACAATGGACAGGGGTTCCAATCCCAGTTACCTATCAGTGGCGTTCCTATGGCAGTGGCAGGCAGAGTGTCTGATACAATAATGAGGAAGACTGAGTAGCCCAGCAATAGTGTGATCTTGAAAGAAACCCTCTCTCCACTGTCCGGTGGCAGATAGAAACCAACCACGTCCATCACCATCAGGAAGATACTGGGCAGCAGCAGGTTGACGGTGTAGAACAGGGGGCGACGCCGGATCACGACCTTTGACGGTGGAGTTTGAAATTCAGACAGAAGATAACTAAGTAAAATAAACTCATATAAAAAATTAATAATAATAATAATAATAATAATATATCAACACATAATATTAGAGCTGTAACGTAATGTGTGTACCATTTGTTTTTTTTTTCAAAGCATGTCAAAGGGAATTTAATTAAGAGCAAAACAAAGTCCAACTTCCTGTGTATTATTTATTTTGTATGTGTTTTATATATATCCAGGTGACCGTTAAAATAACCGTATATATATACACACTTGAAAGAACATTTAACTTTTATTTTAACGGTCACCCGAACCGGTTTAGCAACACCTGGCCCTTAATGACGCCGGACACAAACAAGGACGGAACCTTTGTTGCAGCTTGGTTCGACACCTGAAGTTGCACAACGGATGGTAAGTTCTAAATGAAAGCTAACCTATGCATGTATTTTTTTAAGTGTGTAGTGAAGTCATCGAGGCAGTAAAATCACTAATAACATGCAATGTTATTAATCATAAACACGGTTGTAAGTGGGTTTGTGTTAGATCAGTCATATCACACACAGTCGACGGCGGTCGGCAGCGACGCGTATTTAGCCACTTTCAAAGACGCAAACCTAAACAAAATCATATCACTTTAAATGTACGTCGTATTAGGAATATGTGAAAACGTCAGTTGCTGGTCTACGTGCTTTCGTACTTTCGTGGCATACACGGCCGCAGTGACTTTCTTGTTTTTTGTGAACTATCTTTAAATAGTGTGAATGCAGATTTTAAAAGCATGCATGATCTGTGCAAATATAATATTACTCTATGGTTAAAAACTGAAAACTGAAGCTGCAGGGCATTCGACTCGGTTTGTAAATTTACTCGGGACTTACTAGATTTACTTTAATTATTCAATTGCATTATTAAAATAGTATTCCTAAACATGCAATCATTGACTTTTAGAATTTTGTGTTGTTAAACATCTATTAACTGAAGCTGTAATGAGCTGTACATTCGTATGTATGTTCTCTTTACTCACATGGAACTTCATCTCAGCGTAGTAATCATCATTGTCCACACTAAAGATCTTGTAGTTGGAGAGAATGTGGAGCAGCTCCCACTCTCCTTGGTTCATGAAGACACTCTTGTCTTCCCGGAGCTCCTCGGGGCTCCTCATCAGTGTGATGTTGATATCATTGACTATGTATCAAAACAAAATGTGAGAAAAAGGTCAGCCAGGCAAGGATAGAATTCTGGCATAGGGGTAACCCTACAATAATTTTGTATTACTAAAAAAAGAACAGGACATCTTACTGGTGTGAAGCCAACTCTGGAAGGTCAGGCTACATTTCTGCACATCAAATGGAAAGTTGTAGATGTTGAGAGTACACGCCGTCACAACCTGTATGGGCTTGTAGTTTCGAACCAGACCATCATGTGTCACGTAGACGTAAGGGATATCAGGTGACTTCCCCACGTCAACACTGTAGTTCAGAGAAAGGAGATCTGTTACAGATCACTAGGAAACCTCAAGGTCGGTTTGGAAACCATTTTTTTAAACTAAAAACAATTCTTACAACTCATTGATTAGAATATCAGGAACCCAAACATTCGCTGTGGGTAAAGACAGTTGTTTGACTTCATCAAAGTCTTCTGGGTCCCAGACCAGAAATTCATCAGTCCATGACTGAAAAGTCAAAAAATAAATTATTTAACATTTCAAGGCTTTTCAACATTTCTTTCTTTTTTTTTTTTTTTTTTTTTTTTGGCAAAAACCTAAATTATGGTCAGGGGTTGAAAAATTGGATGAAAAATGTTAAAAAGTTTTTTTTTTTATTTGATCTTTTCTACATTTCTCATCAAAATCTAGCAATTTGAAAACATTTTTAGAAAAAACTTTTTTTTCAGAAAATCTTTAGAATTTTTTTTATTTTTCAGAAAATTTTTAGAAAATTTTTTTTTTCAGTGGCGCTTTGTCACAGAGCCAATGTTAACCTCCTGGGCAAGTTCGGATCT